TCTCACACAGCAACACTTTTTCATATTTCGTCATTTATCGAATAGACGTCTCGTTTGTGCGAACTCGGTCGACGAGTGAGAGATAACTCTTGTAAGCGACTAGAAGCACGGCGAGATGAAGTTCTGTTACAACACGTGGACCTGACAGCTTCTTGTTTGCGTCGTCGTTATAAATTTAAGATGCATCCACATTTGTGAAGGCGGCGCGCGTTAAGAACTAGGGCAGCGGTCGCCGTATTCCTTATCTGATTTTTGCGGGGGCAACGTCCATTTTATATCCTCGTATTTTCCGCCTCGACGCAGTAATCAGAAAGATCTATAGTTACATCGCCACGCTGGAAGTTCTATCCGACATTACGTACGCCCCGCGATAAATAGACGGCCCGAAGGCAGTTACACTGAAATGAATTATCATCGTGCCGACATCTACGCTGTGAGATGTGACTTGTGTGTGTGTGTGTGACGTAATCGTGCCGAATTTTGAAAACAAATCACGCAGCAAGCTTAAAGGGAAGTGTGAGGTAGCAAGAAGAAGAGTGATTCGATCGGAGGAGGTGTGGTCTTATCTCGCGGAAGAAAAAAAATTGTATTAAATCTCTTAAAATCCGCGAGCGGTTCTGAAATTAAAACTTTAAGCCAAGCTTACGTTTCTGACCAATCAATCACAAGCGGCGAAGCGTGGTTGAAATTTTGAGCCGCTTCGTCGTCAGGGAAGATTAAGCGCTCGTTTAGGAGAGATGCACACCCTCTTCTTGATATCTCGTTCCATTGGGTCAAGGAGAAACCCAATAAAGATCTCGCCAGCGAGTCTTTAGTCCCGCAAATCGATCGATCGCCGTCCATTTAATCTCTCCGCTCTCGATACCGCCGTGTGCGAAAAAGATATCATTACATCATTGCCTGTGTACACCGTAGGTATATAGTAACCAAGATTACTCCGCGCGATGAATCATGTGTGAATAAGCGCTACAAGGATCATCCTCTTTACGTTGTTATCAGTTATCGCGCTTCCCCGCTTTCAACCGCTATGAATCCCGCAAGCAGACGTCGAGCTCGAGAAAGAACACGAAGAGCTTCGTGCGTAAGTAATTACAAGATGTGCGGTGAGAGGAACCCTTTCCCAGATTCGCGCAACTCCCGGGACGTTGGGTGCACTTTTCGCAGAGATCGATCCTGTATCCTTCTCGTCTGCAACACGGAAACGCTTCTTCCTTGATAAATTTAATTTACATCGGGTTAACTTCGGAACAGACAGCGCGCTCTCTCTAAGTTTCCCTTCACGACGAGCGCAATTGACGATTATATCTAGTCGTCGGGGAAGATTCTCAGTTTTTCTCGAATAAAGTACGAAATTTAATGAAAAAATAAATTAAGCATGTTTTAATTGAACGCTGTTTGTTGTGGCAATTTCGCACATATGAATTTTGCGAGAATAAAATCGAAGTGTTTGTTCATAAAAAATTTTAAACAACGTCCGTCAATATTGCTGAAAGTAGCGCATTTCGTGCATCGGCGTATGCATTTTTAAGGCGCAACCGCTCTAAAATTATTTATTATCTGTAACATTCGCTATTTTCTGAAATTCAAATTAATTGCGTTAATTAAATTTTTCTAGATATAATGTACAGCAGCGAACGATGTTAATCTATCGCGCGGACCACGCAAACACGCAACGGCGCGTGTGCAAATTTTTTGATCAGTCACGTGAAGCTCATTACCTTTCACCCCTAACGAGGTGAAAAGTACATAGAAGCGCGCGTTAATTCGCGGTAACGTCCCATTCTTGCCGGATCTCGCCTCCCATTTCCTCGCTCAAGCGACAATTTTTCCGTTCGCATTAGCCCGCCGGAAAAAGCAATAACGTCTCTTTATCTCGACACCGCGAGAGCCGTGAACCATCTTCTCTGCCGCGCACGAATACTTTATTCCTTCTATTCTCGGGAGTCCCCGCAGTTTCCGTTTTCTTTACATTGCGTCGCGCGCGCTCGACCCGAATATTCTTTTCTCTTATTTCGTTCACTGTATACGTCCTTCATCGCACCGAGTTCTCGTGCGCGTGCCTTTCGCGTGTGCGTGCGTACACCATGAGCCTTGTACGTGACAGCGTTTACCATTGGGTCGGGTTTAAATCAATAATCCTGAAGACGGTGACATGAGACAGTTTGCCGGTGTAGTTAGCGAGGCAATGCAAGTTGGAAACGTCCACATCTAACCAAGGTAATTGCAACATTAAATTCAATTTGCCTACCGGCGCCTGTAGGATGTGCGCTGCGAAATTGCACGAGTTCTTGGCAAGCTTGATCCTATGACGTTCGTAAGAAGAGAAACAAGGAATTTAGCTATGGATTATTTCCACCATCGCGAGTTGCTGCGAGTTTAAATTGTACTTTATAATTCGCTGTTACGGTAGCGCGCATCAATGCTAATTATTAATCTATTTTACTATTAAATTTTGCTATAACGAGCAACTGAAAGATTTTAATTTTATTTCAGATGTGGAAACGCATTTATAATATTACGTGGTAGATAATTGAAAATATGACTGACATGTTCGATTTTAGTTGATAAATGCTTAAGCAAAATTATTCTTTTATTCGATTTTAGAAACTATGATAAGATAAAACGATTTTCTATATTGCATTATATTATAGCATATCAATACCAATGTAATTAACCAGCGCTCATTATTCGCATAGCTAATACAAATTGAATCCATTATTTTTAGGATATGTTAAACTATGTAATTAATCTCTTGTTTAAGCAAGACTCGCAAAATCATTCTTGACCTCTATTGAACGCACACATATCATGGTGCTTATGGCTTTTGCTGGTCTCAAAAACAGGAAGCGTAAAGTTTTCATAATAACACATCCTCTCCGTTAGATAGGAAGACCCAATTGCCACAGGATGCACACAGGGTCCGCCGACACAAAGGTTCACCTTTTTTCCTGCTTCAGCCGCATCTACACGGAACAGCGAACGCTTATGCGAACCCTTACCCGCAGGGGAATAATTTTAGAAAAGATTTCCTCATTCAAAGGACGGGATAAACCGTTTTAAACACTTTCCGTGAAACAAGAGAATGGGGAATGTTTCAGCTTTACGGCGAACGAAAACCCGCCGGGCTTGAGATTAATCGAAACAGTAGCGAAACTGAATTCATTATGCAAAACTAAATGCGATATATTATGTTTAAGCGCGAATTCTTGTTAGTATTTCCGAACGTTACATCTGGCAAAAAAAAAAAATTGTATATATTGAAATAGATCGCTAGAAATTTTGGCACAATTTTAGCAGTGAACACGTAAGTTTTTTTTTTCAGAAACCTGTGCAACTCTTTTTTTCTCTCTTGGTTAAGTAGGACAGTGAAGAGTTTTATAGAAAATTAATATAGTTTCCCAAAAAAGCGAAGAATACAAGATATCAGACAGTAAATTTTAATTTTGCTTTGAATTTAAATGTGTGTATAAAGTTCGCTTTTAATTTCATGCATTTTTGTTCATAGCAACGAAAACGTTGAATATTGGATATAATATTATTTAGTAATGAAAATATGCATATGGCATTAAAATCATAAAAACTTTGATTATACTTTGAGTATAGATATTTCGTCACAATACTTACAGGAAAGCTTATCTACAATCTATTCCGCGTTGCAATTAATCAAGATAAGTTTTAAATATATGTATATGAACGTTATATTTTATGGAGGAACTTAAAAGTCATCTGTCATCTAAAATATAAATGTGCAAAACGATCCAGTTGCATACTATTTTTGTAACACTCGTAATATTTTAAAAGCTACAGGATGTATCATAAAATATCAAAATTAATATCAGATTTAAGCTTTTATAGCAATTATTTTTTATCAAATTTGCGCTGGCGAAATAAAATTCTACATTTTAGTGTGCGAAGTTAATTTCTTTTGTTTCATAGCTAAGAGAAATGTATATAAAATACGCACGAAATCTCGTTGATAAAATGTGTCCAGGCTGGTTATTTTTGTGCAGACACGCGTAAAATATTGTATCACTTTTCAAAGCAGAATCTATATTGTTGTATATAGCAACGTATAAATGGATACATAAAAGTCGTTTGGTATTGCGCGCGGCTAATATTACTCTATGGATTATTACTTTTATTTTCAGCATTTCGAGTATCCGGTCATCAATACTGATCCAGATGAACAAATTTTCCTGATATTAAATTTACGATCTCTTTATTAAAACTTTCGGCAACATATAAATTTCATGTAATGAAATTGAATTTCACAAACGAAGCATTATTGCTACTGTAGATCTTGATATATTCACTATGTCGAAAAAAAAACATTCATTAAAGCATGCTTGTTAAATAGTATGCGACGTCTAATAACGTCCTTTCTCACGTATCATGTGACGTTCACGTATCACGTACATCCGTATGCAATTTTATTAATATAATAAATGCAGACAGAGCTGAATAACCAATCGCGATTGTTCGAATAAGTGATAAATATGAGCCAATTACATAAATAGTGCATTAATTACTTGACAGAGATTTTGAAAATACTTAGTTTCCGAAACTGGTACACGACACCGCATTTAAAAAAAATAAAAAATGAATAAATAAACCAACGATTCTATGTGGCAGAAAAATATCATCTTGCATCGAGTTAGCGCACGAAAAACTGTTTTTTTTTTATTCATCCGGTGTCATTTCCCCAGCAATCTGCCTGGCTATGCAAATACATATTTTTTCGTCCTGGTTGGGTTAACTTTACCCGAGCGGAGGGCCCGAGCCATCGACGATGCAATTTATATCGCATGAACCACGACCATTTTGAAAAGCGGCGTACGCAGTAAGCTTGTGATGCAATAAAAACTTTAACGTGGGATATTACATACGCGTTTAAATCAATTTTTCTTTACGCGAACTTGGGATGTTTCTTGTTTCAAAATATTTTTGCATCTTTCGAAGCGTTCGATTTTATTCACAAAATATGCTCGCTAATATTTCAGGAGACGCAGACGTTACGGATCTGGAACGCGCCCGTATTCATCGCACGCAGCATACGAAGCATATCATCGTTTGCAGAAATTGCCTGACCGATCGGAACTTGCACTTTGGATGTCCTTCGGGGTCGAAATGATGATTACGGCCGAAGGATCGCTTCGCTGCGGTAGAGCGTCAATTAGGCAAATGTGAGAGAATTTCACCGCAATCAGACCTGTTGGAAGTGTATCGAAGTGCTGATTTACTTAATTGCATCTTAGCTACTTTCGATAAAGTATGATCGATATCTTCGCACAATTTCATGAACAGATATACAATTATAAGACAAATTATAAAATATTAATGTATATAAAATTTTTAGTCGTACTTATACGTATTTATGTTTAGACGCTAAGAATATATCTATCTACATACCTGACTTTTCACCACACCACGTGTCTTGTAATTCTATTTCGATTATGTTAACGAGATAAGTACGTATAGATACCGTCGCACAAGATAGCGCGAGTACATCACTTGATGCGCGCAGCCAAAAAGAAAACTTAAGTGTTGCGAAAGGAGCCGCAGTGCTTTCACACCGAGGTTCACTCACACTGATCAATGGTCGTAACACTATCGAGTAGCATTGGAAGGTTTGCAGGCGACGCGGCGCTTTGTGAAAACGTTCATATTTCTCGTTTGGGGATATCGTAGTTTCATTGAACTCGGCGCGGTGATAAGTCCGGCGAAGAAACGAGGATATCGAGCGTAGGCGGAGATAAGTATACGAAGGGAGATCGCCACCCTGCGAGCTCGGTCAGGTCCGAGCAACGCCGTGGCGATGACAGCGCGATATGTCAAACCATTGTCCCTCTTCGTTCCCTCGTTATGTCCCTCTTGTCCCCATCGTTTTTCTTCACGCCACACAAGATCTAACTATGCACGCTGTGCGAGACAATACGATCGCGTTACAATTTCGAAAAATGTGCTATATCGCTCGCAATAATGGCGTGAAGTATGTCACCGATAGAAAAATTAATCGAGGAATTTGTCAGAAAATTTTTGTTATTACATTGTGTGCATACTTGTCTACATATTTTAGACACACACACACACAATAAACGTTTTAACCAACTCAATTTTTTCCGAAAGAGTTATTTTATCTATCCATATCAACATCATAAAACTAATATAATCTTAGTGTTATGATATTTATAATTTGCATATATAAATATTTTAATTAATTGCTGCTGTATTCAATCAAGAAAAATTTAATATATATATGTGTGTAAAACGCTCACAAAACATACTTTCACGTCATAGAAATCAGCTTTCTCACGGATCCTCAGTAAAGGGCAAATAAATTCGGTGAACTCGGCTTTTGCTGGCACTTTATTTCTTCTCTGTGAATCGCATCCACAAAGTTTTTCATCCCTCCGCTGTTTTCACAATGAACGCTCGTTTCGTTTTTAAAGGAGAGTAATTTGGGAAATATGACTTCCGCGGCAAGTTTTTCAAAGTTTTACAAGCCTCATAAAAGGCCGGCTAGTCAACGCTAGGATCAGCGTACTTTTCGGACAATAAATAAGGGGCGGCTAGTTGTTTAGAAATACGCAGCGGTGTCTGAAAAGTTTCGACGAGCGGCGAAATGGCCCGTGGTGGAAGCACTGCATTGATTTCAAACTGAATAAATGTATATATGCATACGTTAGGACGTCGATACTGCTCCGGTAAAAACCGGAAGAGATACGGAAAATAAATTCCTACGACTAGACGTTTTTATCATAGCGATACAGTCTTTTTTTCAATCCAAAATTTTTGCACATGTTTATATTCATTAGATTATAAAATACAAATGTTACGAATTTTTATTATATAACGTAGAATATTGCGGCTCCGTGGTCTCTCTAATTGCTCTTGTAGGAATTGAACAAATTAGACTGCAACCATGTCATTTGACGCAGCTTTTAATAAATCTCGCACGAGAGAAAGCCGACAATAATAATCCATTAGGTAGCGTAATCGGAAACGCACTTATAGCACATGAAAGTGTAAAAGCCAGACTCGCTCTTTTGTTGGCAGGAAACGAAAGTTAGATCGAACAAAGCAATTATAGTCTTGAAGTCGCTTCGTGCACTACCTGAAAGTTCTAACCGCATCTGGTATTCATCCGAGGGGACGTAATAAAGGAGAGAGTAAGACGGGCAGCATGCTTCGAGAAGTTGCAAAACTTTCTGTTCCCTCGTCGTGTCGGCTTAAAAAGTCACCGATTGTCGATCGCTGAACGTCGCCTAATATTTGCCAACTTCGAGAAGCATATCCTCGTTACATATTTACCGAGGTAAGGCAACCTGTGCACGCCGAGACACACGCTCGTAAGCAAGACATCACGATGCTGTCTACGAAATTGCGGCGGAAGGTGCGGTGCTTGTTCTACCGTAAAACTTCCTTGCTCCTCGAAGCGTTATTAATTTTCCGTGATACATAAAATAATATTATAGTTGCAGCATTTTAGTCGCAGCATTATGATTAAAGTACATGATAAACTTAATACACCGCTGCAGACCCCTTAAGTCATTTCAAATTTATCTCAGCGACATAATATGTTTCAAAATCTTTTAATGCGCAATAAATCCAGATATCCATTGAAAACTGTTGTTTTTTCAAGATTACCAATGTAATATATTTAAGCGTTTCGACAAAGCAGCGTATTTATTTTGGAAAACATTACGGTCACACGAGAAACCTTTGCTTTAAAACATTGTAATTATATTTTCTACGAGGAACCTCGAGGTAAATGAAAGTTAAATCAAAGTCTTAGCTCGAGGCACAGTGGTCGAGGAAAACGTCGAGAGAGCGGATGTTGAAAGCCCTCACTATAAGCTTTGTATCGGTCTTACTTATATCGTAACTTACGAAATAATCTAGAAATATGAAAGAGGTAGAACAAAACGTGTTGGTACAGTACTATTAAAATATTGAATTAGATTTGTCTAAAGATACTCAAATCAAGAGAGAAAAATACAACACATTAAAAATATTACATTGAAAAATAAATATGCTATGTTTTGAAAATGTTATTTCGCGTACGTTTCAAAGCGCTTGTCAGTGCTCCATTTTATAACCGCATCAAAATAAAATATTTCGGTGTAAAAGCAAAACTATTTGCAACATTGCAATTTTTGTAATTTTACGATGACGCCATGTATACCACTCTATACGTATATATAAAACATGTATGATAAATGTGAGCAAGTTTTAATAAAACTTGTATTGAAATTAATAGTTGGAAATTATTATTATTCGAGTTTTATCCACCGATCGTGCTACGGTTTGGAAAACAACGTTGAATGATGGAGCACTAAAGGTGCAGAGGTACTAAACCGCAGTGTCGTAGCGAAAGTTCGTGATGTAGCAGCCACAGATAAAGGCAGCTATTTGTTACAATTAGGTTCTCTTCCGCGGGCTGCAGACGGTGTCCCCAGGTTGCACTTGCTCACTTCACCCCAGGCACTTCTTGTCACCGTCCTTGCACTCTGCGCCCTCGTATGCATTCAAGCGTCTCCGTCACCTCGAGCGTCTCAAATGGAATTACGCGAAATGGCGGTCGCGTTTTCGTAATATTCGGTGGCACCCTCATTCCCTTGCGCGACTTCCATTGTACGTTACTAGCGTCGAGTACGTGCATATAATTGCTGAGTGTTGAGAGCAATTCCTTCAATACAGACGCAGTATATTCTTCGAGAAAAAGCAGCGTGAATATGTGCCGTTAATTGCAACGCAAAATTTCAATTCAATCTAATAATAATATTTTAAATGTCCATTTTCAATTTATTTCTTTGTTGAAACAAATATTGAAGAGTATAATAGACCTATCCAAGTTTATGCTAAAGTGCCTCTTCCTCTTCATCGCCTCGCTGAGGAAGAAACGGAAAAGAAACAAAAGAAAACAAAACGCTGAAGCCTCGTGCATAGATCGTCGCGTGTACACATTTATTCACGCGTCGCTGTTGATTAATTCTTGACTAAGAGTATAATACATTAATTAATGTTAATTTTTTATAATTTTATTAATTATGAATATTATAGTAACGTTGTTTTAAAAAATTTATAATAAAAGGTCGAACAAGCACAATTTTCAAATAAATATTCTCGGTAATCTTTTCAATAATGCTTCTCTACTAACCCGAGCTTCTCTGCTAGCTGCCGGACATATCGGCTTTCAGCTCAAAAGGCTCAATTGGCTTCGGTCCGAGCTTCCTCACACCACAGCATTCAAACACAGGATCATATCTGTCTATATTCATGAGCAATACCTATACGGAACGGAGGAAGATGCAAATGTCGTGCGTTTCCGCCCCAAGATCCGGGTACAATTTTCGCAGAGCCCAAGGGAGGACATACGTTTCCTCTCCTACGTCCGAATATATATTATAATGGAGCGTAAAGAAGGATTCCTTTTCCTTTGCAGATTCGATTCCGCTCTCAAATGCAAAATTTCCCATACGGCACACCTCCGCGTGCTTTATTTAGAGTTATCGAGCGACTGTATTTGATAAAATAGATTTGATGACGGGCGCTTTATCTCAATGTATTCCGTGTCATCAAGTTCTTCTCGCGCTCTTGGCGTTCTCTTTCTACCTCCACGTTAACATTAATTTATTACATATTTGAAACATTGTAAAAACGAACGGTCAAAATGGAATCCGCGTTTCTCATCTATCATTTTATTTCTCATCTTTCATATATGCCAAGTTACATAAGATACATTTTGCGATATGGTTACTACACGGGCGGGCTGCAAAGTTTATCCGAACAAAATTCGGAAGTAAAGATTTTCTCGAGCGTGTTTGGCACTGACGCTGAAAACCTCAAACACTGTCACGCGCCTAACAAAAATGCTTCCGCCGACACAACATTGGACGTGTGTTTTCTGTATGAAACTTGGAATGAAAATATTCATACACAGTTTCTGTCGTAAAGCAAAAACTAGCCGTCCGTATGTTTCAAAAAATTGTCTGTTGTCGACTGTTACTCCGAACTTGCAATCTCGAAATATCAGGAGTTTGTATCGTTGCTTTCAAGAAAAATTGACAAAATATGTACGCGCAATGCACGTATCAATTTTTTTTTATTGAACAATAAATCAGTGATTATTTTCATCACAATATTGTCTTCGATAAATTTCAATATTTCCACGATATATCTCGACATCTATCAAATTTTATTATTCGACAGACGAGATAGGATTGACGTGAGATTGTGCACTGTGTAGAAATATCAATCACGATAAAGGATACTTCAAAAATGGGTAACTGCATTGGCAGTCGCTATCGCAAAGCTCTGAGACGAGTGAGATAACGTTACCTATAATAGCAGGAAAACTGGAAACTAGTATTGGGGTAATCTCCTGTTCAGGAAATTTATCCGCCATCTCGGTAGCTTCCGCTTACATCGCTCTTTCCAACTCCCTGTTCGGCATCGTCATTTTGCCAGGATTAATACTTATGTCCTATGATACAGCTTGTTGAAATTTACTACACGGTAAAATCGGCAAGATGGAAATGTTCGTGCAGTTTAAATCGCATTATATTAATATGGCGTCGCATTAAGATTAAATTATATTTCGGTAACATGGCTTTAGCATTTTCGAAGGTGCAGATATTGCGTTAGATTCATTTTGGTAATGCGTACGCATAATTGTATAATATAATATACATATATATATATATATATATACGATCTCGAAATGAAATTACGCAATACCGTAATATTCACGATTTGATTAAAATAGCGTATCACAAATACGATAAACGTTAATAATTTTACGAGATATTTGTAAGAAAATAATAACTCTCGAAAGATGATTGGGGGGAGAGCGATTAATTTCCAGTCAAGTAGCTTAATAAACCATGTCATTCAGTCGAGAAATTATCGGGCATGCTAGGAATTTAATTGAATCTCAACCGCGCAATCTCTGCCCTCAGATCTGCAGAAGACGCGACAGATTCGTCATCTAACTGTGACTTAAAGGAAGATGTACATAAAAGGCTACGTCGGATTATAAACCGTAGTACGACGTCTCTTCTCTCGCTATGGCTACACGATATTCACGTCTATATTTAGACTCAAGCAAGTAAAAGCACGTTTTACAAAGGAAGATGCTGCGAA